TTAAGTGGGAGAACTTGCACAATTGGTGGCTGACTAAATACTTTTTTGCCGCACTGTAGGGTTATCCTCCTCTTCTCCCACTTTTCTTGGGAATGGGGAGAACTACATGACAACTGGCTATGTGTTCCTCTTTCCTTGTCTTGCAGCTTTGCCATGACAGTTGGTTAGCTGGACAGTTTGGAATATTTAAAACTATCCACCCCTTCTCTGTGACCTTTGGTGACCTCGTGCTAGAGATGTCAGGGCCTATGTTTCTTTCTGCAAAACCTGTTGCCCTGCCAAGCTTCTTGTTAGCAAACCAACTGGACTGTTGCACTTTATTACTGGCCTACCACAGATGGCTTATATGCTATTTATGGTGGATAAATGTCACTTAGAGCAAATCTCCAACCCTATGTAAATTACCAGTAAGACAACTGGATTGATCTTTTATCTATTACTGAGTTCACTTATAATAACTCCAATAAGCCTCTACTCAGATGTTGCATTTCAGGCCACCTATGGTTACTACCTGCATCTACTGCCATATGCTTCTTGGTCCCTCAGATTTTGCCTCCTACTTTCTCCAGGAATGACAAGCCTCTTGGAGGCTCCTCATGGATCAAATGGATCATGTCAAGGTCTTGTACAAGCACTTACTGAAAATCAGCAGCAGGAAACATTCTCTCTCCTTCCCCCATTGTTGTTGGAGGCCACATCTGGCTTTGTATCACACAACAGGCTAAGAAACTAGATGCAAGTTTACTGGATTTTCCATACTTGCATAGATCAGTACTATAGACTTTACTCTGCAGTTTCCAGCCACACTAAAGCTACATGCAGATTTCCTTTCCTCCCCTGTGCATCTTTATACCACCATTCAATCTTTGTGGTGGGGTGAAGGAAGAAGAATTTGAATGGAATATATTTTAGAGTTTCAGTACAGGAAGGGCAGACTGGAATACACAATTCATTGGCAGGGTTACCCAGACACAGAAATATCATGGGAATTAGCTGACAACATTCATGCTCTGTACTTCCTCTGATATACCTTCACAACCCAAATGACTTAATTGGTGACCTCTTCTAACTTTGGCACTGGTCTGCAATTCTGACTGTAAGAGAGGAGGAGGTTGTTTGGGGGATGGGGAAGGAGACATTTGTACAACTAATAAGAAATGGAGATTATCCCATCCAAAAGTGAGGGGAAGAGTTCTGAAATGGGAGATGTTCCTGATAAAGAAATAGATGAGATGGAATCTGTGTGATGTGTGATGTCAATAGGAAGTGGAAATTGGGAGAAAAGCCTAAAAAGGGGAATTCTCTCTGATTTCAGTCAAAGAAGAGATAGAAATATCTGTACTATTGAGAACCTGAGGCAGAATGAAGGTGTACAGACATTTGAAGGGAAGGAGACTTTGTCAGCTCCAGTTGTCAAAGAAATGGAAATAGATAGGAGGGCACAGTGCCCTTCAGTCTCCCACAAACTGAAGGAGGGGAAGATGTATCTGGCACCTTTAGATAATACGATAATAGGGAGGAGAAAATAGAGAGGGAGATGGTATAAGGGCTGACAATGGTGAGGCAGGAACCAATGCTGCTCAGGCCAAAGAGAAGCAGCTGCTTGCCAAACTCAAGGTTGGGGAAAAATGAATAAGAGACAGTTGATGCAAAAAGGTGAGAAGAAAATGCTTAGGATTTAAACTCTGGGTTTATCATTCATTCATAATTCATATACGTATACGTGCATATATTTCTACGTTCTGCAGTATGCAGACTGTCTGCATAAGTATGATTTTTTTTCCTTGTCTGCAATAAAGCAACTTATCTAGTTGTGTCAACACTACAAAACTTCTGCTGTTAGACTGAATGTGGGGTTGATTTTCTGGAGAGAGATTTACTGCTATGCCTGTGTTATCTGATAAACATATTGCACTGAAAGCTGCAAAAAGGTTCAAGAGAATCAATAGGACCACATAATTTTCACCCAGTTTCCAGATCAAGTCATTCACCAGGTGACTGAACAGTCTTAGTCCTACATCCTGGTTGAAAGCCTGAGTGAAATGGGTCCAGATAATACATATCATGCATATATAACTGGATTTGCAATCCTACCACTATCTCAATGGCCACAGGCAAGAACAAAGAGATCCAAGTCTACAGCTGAGTGAAAATTCCTTATCCCACCTACTACTGGCATTTTTGTAATGGCATCCAGGGGAATAAGCTGTTTAATGGAAACAGTAATCAGGCTGTGTTTGTTGCTGTCACATATGACAAGAAAGCTTTTGGTAATTTTCTTTCCCATAAAATATATCTTAAAAAAACACATTGATATGACCCAGCTGTGTTCTGATGAGCCTCCTTTGAGGGTGGGAGAGTATTGTCTCTATACTCCAGACAGGTATGTGGTTTCCAGGTTCAAAAGTTACCATCAAATTATAATTATGTGACATAAGGGAGAAATTATTAACACATGGAAAGTAATCCTATTAATTGTATGCAAGTAATGAAATACAGTTTAGCTGAATTTTAGATTAAAATGGAAAGTAGTCTCATCCACTTTTTGGAGAGTGCCCCCCAGCATGCTATTCAAAGGCCAAACGTAGATCTTGGCTCCAAAGCCCCTTCAAAATGATGTTATTTTGTGTTATTTTGAAGGACACAAAAGAAGCAAAAAGCATGCTAGAGCTGCATGTACCTCTGAGAATTCAAGTTGCCCATATCCCATCTAAAGGGAAAATGAGGCACTTTTGTACAGATACACTCAATTGTATTTGCACTTGTCTGAGCTGTTGAATTTACTAAATTTACTAACTCTTCATTAGCTGCTTGGTCTAACAGTTCTTTGGGTGACTGAAAATTTAGATCATTTAAGTTACTTTTAATGTTATCAGTCAAGATTTTGCAGGCACTTGGACAAGGCTCTTATCATCATGGAATATCCCCATTTTATTTCTGGCCTGTTAATATGCTATGAAAAAATGAAAGTAGTGGGAATACTGGAATGGGGGAGGGGGAGAGGTTGATTTTGCTTTACTGGTTTGAGGCCATTTAGCAGCTTGTCTTACTATGTCTTGCAGCTGACTCTGTTCCCAATATATATTCATATTACTTCTTCCATCTGCATTTCTCAGAATGCAGAAAGGCATTCCAGACTTATGATTCTGGAAGTGAAATCCAGGCTTGTTCTGCTTTCTATTCTTAGGGACACCAGTCTTTAAAAAGAAGTCTTTTATTGCAGGCCCAGTGGGAGGAAGCATCCCACACGGTCGATATCTGGCAAGTCTAGACATGTATAATTACAGCATTCCATTCCATTTTCACACTGCTTCCTTTTTTTTCATCAGGGCATTAAAAAAGAAAAAAATTCATAAATATATGCTGATCAACATATGTTGATATGCTGAAATTAATACTAATTTCATGATAAATTATATTTGCTCCATGGAATTTGTAACTCCTAAGGAGACAGGAAAACAAGATTGAAATAATGATTTGCTCAAATATAAGGGGTGCCTTTGAACCATGAAACAAGCATTGCATGTCAAAGGACAGCCATGCCTAGAAATGTGAGAATAATACTTCTTGGGTTTCTTTAAAAGCAAAACAGTGTGATTCTGATAAAAGCAGACTGTTGTCCAAATTAGCAAAAAATTCACAGTCTGCAAACATACATTTTGAATTATTTCTCAGATCAAAAGATGTGTAGCAAAGCATTAAGTACTTGCATTAAAATATATATGGTTGGGAAAACTACATCCAAAATAAATGCGAATTTTTATATAAGCTTATAGAACAATGCGGAATGTCACTGAATTGAATAATAACAAAGATTTTATATTACCAATAGAAACTTATAAACCAATAAATTTATCCATACAAATATTAATTAATGCAATCTAGATTCTTTGTTGCTAACTAGACTGCTTATCTTCAAATTTTGGGATTCACTGAAAAAGGAATAAACAGACAAATCATACATTGGATACTGTTTATGAAGTAACTTTGGGATTATGAATAGGACAATAGTAGTAATAACTGTAATTGAAATTAAAACATAGTAGTAATCCATTTGTGGATCATAAACTATGCAAGATTTTTTCAAGGTGAGCGCTATACTAAACCTCTGAGATGTGTTGTGGCTGTACTTTAAAAAGTGGGTTGGGGGGAGAACAAAAGTTAAACTTGATTTAAACAGATTTAAATATATTATAATTTATTAAATACAATTTAATATGACAACTCCCTTGTATTTATCCTTTCTGACATATTAAAATTATACTTCTGTAGGGACTCCGGAGGTTACAATAGCAGTTTGGGGAAATGTTTGTAGTTTTGGGCCTTGCTATGCATTCATGATCTAGCACATGCATTTTACAACACAAATAAAAATCAAGAAAGCCTTATGGACTTCATTATTTAAATTGGTGAAATGATAGAACATATTGTAATATTTCTATAACCTGAAAAAGTAACTCATATGCTAAGGAAACAACCCTCATTAGAAACCCTCTCAATTACTTAAAAAACGTTTAGGACAGCTCTGCGTAGACGATTTCTTGAGTTCATTATAATAATTTGCACATATTATATTTGACTTCTTGTTCCAAAGAAAAGTTTTGAAAATATTGTCAGAATGTAGCTAATTATGTCCAGCTCACCTTGAATGAGTTTTGCTTCCACCCACTGCTCCTTTGCTTTTCTGTTGTTCTTCCAACCACCTTCAGTTCCCTTTCTGCCTTTAAATTGAAAAGTAAAACGAGAGAAAGAAAAGTGACTTGGCAGTAACCATTACTTTGTACTAGAGTTCCATCATATATTAAATACCATGGTACTTGTATCTGAAAGATAATTCTTCACTCTTCTTTCATTAGGACGCCTAGTTGAGATGGCAGTGGGAATAAATCACTGGGGCCATACTCCTGCCACCAATTTCGCAGTGCTAATCTAGTGCTGGAGCTAGGTTATGGCAAGTGGCAAGCCAGGAATTGCCTAAGAATAAGTTAGAAACTGAAACTAAAAACAAGGTCAGAAATCCAAAACACTCTGAATACTGAAATACATGTGGTTTAGAGCAAGGCTCAACTGGAAAAAAAGAGGCCTTTTTATACCACTTCCCTGCTCAGGGAAGCCCAGTGTTTCTTCACTAGAGGTTGTAGTTTAGCGGCTCACCACCACAGATAGTGGGTTCCTGGTATCTCAGAAGTTAAGCTAAGAGGCAGCAGATGTAGACAGAGCATTGGACCATTTTGTGGCCAACTTGTTTAGAGGAAATGGGCAATAGAGATGAATGCAAAACCCTGAATGATGAGTTATACATGCAGGCTGCAGTAGGACTTTACTGTTATAATATTGAGCTTAGCTTCTGTGACTAAAGTAGACAACCCAATCTACTTTAAAAAATACAAATGATGAGGAATTGTTGGTAGGACAGTCGATTTCCTGATTATTTGTTAACAACCTACAAAAATATGGTACCACATGAGGTATGTATCTTACCCTTTTTGCTTCTCCCACAATCTTACTGACTAGCCTCTCCCTCGTATAAAGCTACAGATCTCTCACCTCTATCACTTCATTGCATTAGTTCAGTCCCAGAATGGGTTCTTCATGTCTATATATATTCACTGGCAATGAATACAATGTTGTTGCAACAGTTCTGGCTGTGTTCCCTTTTTTTGGGAGAAAAATTAGGAACAAACCCAGATTACTCCTTTGCATATTAATTTCAAGACTGATTGTATATCACGAACTGGATTAACTTCAGACCTAAAATCCTTAACTTACAAAACTATCCTACATTATACATGCACTAAAAACTAATTAGTACTCCATAGGACAAAAAACCAGTAGTGTAAAGAGTGACACACAAAACAAAACAAAACAAAACAAAACAAAACAAAACAAAAACCCTTGCAAAACCTCATCAAAAGCAATCTTATTTCTGGTGTTCTGTGAGCAATCTTTTAGTTCTGCATTGAGGTCCTTTTTTTGTTTGTTTGTTTAAATCTACGATATATTCACCACAAGCTGAAAAGAAACAGGAAAGTCAGTGTTCCATCTGGAGAGCAGTAGCAAAAACTGACTTCACTTGCTATGCTTGTTTAAGGAACAGTTACTGTGGTGGAACTGGCCGGGTGCCTGCGAGTCAGGGGTCGCCTGGCAAATCCACAAGAAAACACATTAGCACAAAGTGGCTGTTTGAGCAGGCGTGATAAAAAATTCTCCATTCGGCCCACCTCCACGGTCTTACAAAAGGCCACATGGCCGCTCTTCTCAGTTTGTGCAGAGTTTCATTGCTAAATATTTCCATGAGTGGTAGGAACTCTTCCATTTCCCCCCTTTCCTTTCAATAGGAATTCTTTTTCATTTGCTTTGTACCCATTTCAGACAAGGGAAAAAACAGGTCTGAATTGGTAGAGTAGCATAGAGAAGTATAATTTCTACAAAAAAACCTACAGACCGTTAACAACATAGTTTTTATTTTTGCTTAAGTGAGAACTAAACAAATTTATAAACTGAAAAATCTCCAAATTATTAATATTTCACTTTTTTCCCCTTAGATTTTTATTTCAATAGATTTCAATTTGAATGAAATACAAATTTTATAATAATGGAATATTAATTGCTGTGCGTTCAGTGGCAAATTCACTTAACTCTTAAAAAGTAGGAACATTCCTTTGATTTGAAGCAGAAATACAGATCAGGAGGATTCATTGTTCATTGTTGAAATTTATACTGCTGTAATACATTGTCTTGGAATTTCAATCGATTTTGGTACATTTGGAGTTTTAAGAAATATTTCAAAAGACGCTCATTTCTACTACTTTTCATGTTCTTAACAAAGGGCATTAAAATGTTTTTTAAAAAGTGTTTTCCTGATTTCTTTATGTCATATTTTCCAATATTCTAAAAATCAGAATGAATCTTACTGTGCATTATTGCAGATATATTATTTCTCCCTAAAGCAATCATCTTCTCCTGGTGCCCCCACTGTTCCTAGACAATATGTCATAATGGCTGAATGGACTGGAAATTTTTGTCAGTAATATTCCCCGCAAAAAACAACTAGACAAAAACAGTATTGGGAAAGACTATAAAGGTAACCTCCACAATTGGGGAATACTTTTATTATGATAAATGAAAATGGCACAAAAATGAATTAGCTGTCTTCCAAATTCTCCAGAACTTTTTACTGGCAAGGTGTTACAAAAGCATGGGATGGGGAACAACAAGAACACCAAAAACTAGGTCAACCATTCCAGCCAAAGTCAAAGTCTTCTCAAGATGGAGAATGTTGATAAAATATACTGGTTGCTGTTAAATGTTCATTATTTTCTTTTTTCTGAATTCTTACTTCCATTTTTGGAATTCTTCTGTTTATCACATAATTTTCAGGCCTTTTCCTCTCTTTTTCTCCCAATTTCTCTTTTTCTTTTTAGTATTATTGTTATACTTATCAATTTTAAGTTTAGTTCGAACCTTAATGCCGCTGCACGCATTTCCACTTTTCTTTTATTGATTAGCTTAGCATAGTAAAAATATGTTTTTATTTATCTTGGGAACTAAAAGCAGTACCTTATACAGGTAGTCTTTAGTTAACAACCATGATTGGGACTAGGAACTCCATCACTAAGCAACGCGCTCATAAAGCAGAAAATCATGTAACTGCACCGACTTACAATGGCAGTTACATCTGATCCAGTTACAGTTGTTAAGCATGATGTCACATGACCATGACTTGCAACTTCCTGCCTGCTTTCCCATTGACTTTGCTTGTCAGAAGCTGGCAGTGAAGATCGCAAAAGGCAATCATGCAACCGCAGGATGCTGCGACCTCTGTAATTGTGCACCAGTTGCCAAGCACTCAAATTACAATCACATGACTATGGGGATGTTGTGATAGCTGCAACTTTGAGGACTGGTTGTAAGCCTCCTTGTCAGCACCTCGTAACTCTGAATGGTTGCTGAACAAGTGGTGGCTAAGTGAGGACTATCTGTAATAGATTACAAAAAAGCAAATGAACGTCTAGATGTCTTTATATTCATAGGAGTTCCATTCCAGCCACTGCAGAGGACAAATGGCAGATAGCAAAATCTTGTTTTAGGAAAAGTACTTTACACATACACAAACACCTATCTGCCCTTTGTGCATGAGTAAAGACAATTACAAGCCCCAAACTGTGGTTAAGTAAAAACCATCACTGTGGATAAAGAGGTCTGGTCTCTAATTTATAAACCATGGAACTGCAGATAACCTGTACTGGAAATGGAACTCAGTGAAAGAATGCAGGAAAACTATTTAGGAACAATTGGACTGGAAACAAAACATTAAAAAGTGCAAAAATGGTTTAAGAATGCAACAGCCTGGCAAAAGTGAAAAGACTGCAATAATATAGGCCTAAGTAAATTTCAAGGGGTCACTTCAAGAAAGGGAATTTTACCCCTCATAATACTGTAAACTGAATTTTGAACCTTCCAGGCCACTGTTTAACCAAAAGTAACATACAGATTTAAAGGAATGAGCATTTAAAGTAATTTAATTTAAAGGAATGGGCAATTTAATTCTGAGCTCCAAAGGGCACTTTGGAGTTAACCTGCAACTACTTACACTTATTTCCTTTTTATGAAGATATCTGTAATTTCTAGTTGTTGTTGCCTCATCTTCCCTTCAGAGCACCCCAGATGCTCTGACATTCTGAAGGCTTCCAAGTTATCTGTTAAAAACCCTAAAGCCCTTTCCCCAATCACTGATTATTTTCTTATTTGGGAAGAATTGAAGTACAAAAATGGGCCAAAACACTGGCCCTACCCAACCCAGTGATATAATGATACTACCAGCCACAAAATCCCCCCCCCTTTTTTAAGTACAGCTCCCAATAGTAAAAAGGTTGCTCACCTTGCTACAGGTAGAAGGCGCGAACAACCAAGCTCAAGAGCCCCAAGGACTCCACAGTTCAAGCCTGAGCTAAATATATTCTCTTCTATTGGAACACACTGACTTTTCAGAGACATTGTTTTATTCATATGCAAATGAACATGCAGATGTTATTTACTTTAATGTGTGATTAGCTTTAATTGAGTGGCAGCCGTAGCCTTCTCTGGCTGAAACGCTGAAATCTGTACTGGTCATTCTAGGGGCAAATTTCACTGCTGACAATACTGTTGAGTTGATTTAGCAGAGAAATCCTGCAGATAAAGGACTCGTTTAGTAAGGAGATTAAAATTCTGATGGTGAAGAAAGAAATGCAGTTTCCAGGGGGTGCGCATGAGATAACAGTAAATCTCTTCATGCTTCTTAACACTTAAACATTACAATCAGGAAATGTATTACTGCTTTCTATTTAATAACTAATTTATTAATGACTGGTTTAATTGATCAAGATACTGTTTAAAAATTCCCCAGAAATAGTTCTTCTTCTGCTGTATAGGATACTACTAAGAATCTGTATGGCTGCCATAGGTTACAGTTAGTCTGCCATAAAAACTTATCTGATTATAATGCTGACTGACTATATTCTGTGGACAAAAGTCTTCTACAGTTTAAGAGCATCTGTAAAACAATTTGCTCCTATACTGCCAGCTACAAAATACGTCAAAATGTGACCTACAGGTTTGGCAAGAACAAAAATATTCCAGTAAAATTTTAGTGATATCAGCATATCATACTGCAATGTAGTAAAATTTTATTTCAAAACACTACAACAGTCCAATTTAATGGACCAAAAGCTTTGCAAACCA